AAAAAAAAAAAAAAAAATTCAAATAATTGAATTGTGGTCTGATGAGAATATTGTAGAGCTGGGCGATAGAACGATAACGATATGTATTGCGATATAACTTTTTCTTGATAGAAAAATTAAACTATTGCGATAGACCTTGCCGCTCTTATCCTCTTAAAAAAAAGAAAAAAAAAGAACAGCCAATCCAAATTAAGTAGCGCAGAGCCGAACCAATCACAGCCGCAGCGTCACGTGACGTGAAGTGACTTGTTACGTACAGCAGCCAGCCACCGTACCGCCCGGGTAATGGAGGAAATGAGTGTGCCGACTAGAAAAATCAACCGAGCGTGACCACGCTCTGAAGAGAAAACAGATGATGGTTCCAATGCCGGAGAGATTGTCGAACGGAAGAGCCATAGAAGTTCCATAGTGTGAAGGTATTTCGGCTATTTCAAGTCTGACAAAAAACAGAGTAGCGTTCACTGTAAATTGTGCCGAAAGCAAGTCTGGAAATACAATAAACTGGTGCATGCTCAGGCTATGTCCACACGTACCCGGGTATTTTTGAAAACGCAGATTTTTTCTATGCGTTTGCACCTTTCGTCCACACGTAAACGGCGTTTTTGGTCACTGAAAACGAAGCTTTTTAAAAACTCCGGCCAGGGTGGATATTTTTGAAAACTCCATTTTTGTATTTACGTGTGGACTAGAAAAACGGAGAAAACACAGCGTCAAAAATGTGCGCATTTTTTGACGTCACACTGTGCGCCACGTTATTGTGTCAGTGAAATGAATTTCTACAATACTGTTACTGTTAATTCTACTCTCTGCAGTGTTTAAATGCTTACATATACACACAGTTACTGTCCCTCCACACATACGACCCGGTTCTGCTTCTATTCGTGATGTGCGGATCGATCCTGAAATATCGATTCCTCCGATACCAGTCATTTATGTTCTAGAATCGATTCTCACATTAAAATATTGATGTTTTTAGTAATTTAGGGTTAATTTGTAGTTTATCATTAACAGCAACACAGTGGAAAGAAACTATAACATTCAGATTGTCTACATTCAACAGCTACAGTGGGGCAAAAAAGTATTTAGTCAGCCACCGATTGTGCAAGTTCCCCCACTTAAAATGATGACAGAGGTCAGCAATGTGCACCAGAGGTACACTTCAACTGTGAGAGAAAGAATGTGGAAAAAAAATCAAATCCATGAATTCATATGGTAGGATTTGTAAAGAATTTATTCGTAAATCAGGGTGGAAAATAAGTATTTGGTCA